ACTTTTCGGGTCGTCACGTGTACAACATTTAAGTGGATTTACCTCGGAGAAAATGGCGAAGTGGCCATTCTGTAGATGCCTCTTCAGATTCGTTGTGTTCTTTCCTCGGAACGACAGTCCACACTCTCGGCATGTAGTTTTGGTAGCAATGTTATCATAAGAAAAATGACTCCACACATCTTCTCTTCTTTTTCGCCCAGCAGTTAACATTTTCCTCTACTCCTTCTTCTTATGCCGTCGATATATTCAGTGAGCTATGTTTAGCACACCGCGCATACCTGCCCCTTTATACTATTCAGGGTCTGTCTTCTCTCACGTCGTCCCGCACGTTCACGGCACGCCACGCCCCTTGTCTTCTACTACGTTCGCATCTCACAACAACACAATAGTCGCACCGCACCATAGAGCGCCATGTAGAAGAGCGTCATCGTAGATTTTCGTCTCGTCTTTCATTCGTTGACTAAAAGTTTCAATCAATTTAATTATCGTCTTCGTCTTTTTCCAAGCTTTTATTTTGAATTTTTGTTTCATTTTCGTCTGTAAATATATTTTCGTGACGAAAAAAAAGACGAAAATATTTCGTCAACAAAATTAACACTGTTACAGACTGAAGGCAGAGGGGAAAATTATCTCTGCCTGACCCAAACACAGTCTTGTTATCCTAATCTGACGCCAAGGCAGCCTTGAAGCTGCTAACAACAACCCCCACGAAGGAAGGAATGCAGACAGATGCTGTGGAAACCCGTCCTACCCCCCCGCCTTCAGATTGTGGACTTCTGCATAGCGAGGCCATCAACCTGCAGGAACTCAAATGTGCTCTGTGCTCCTCCCAAGATCTCTCTCCCTCCTGTGGATACAGCTGGCTGAGCGCCACACATGGCTGCTGGCCCTGGATAAACTGGATCCCAGCCCCCCCCCCCCCCCCCCCCACACACACACACACCCCGCCTCCCTATCGGAGTCTCATGTTGTGAATGTTGAAGTTCGTGCTTATATGTTTGAGGTGTTTTTTTTTTTTTTTGCATAGTACAGCTATGCCCTGTCGGGAGTAACTCTGGTATGCTTTTTTTTCCCTCCCCCAACTTATCCTCATGTAATTCCCTTTTCATCTATTAAGGTAGCACGACTCGTGTTGCGAATGACTGCAGTCACCAATTATTGTCATGTGTCTTGCCCATGTATGTATGATCTCTGAATTGTGTGTACTGAAACTCAATTTCGTTTCTCTGTATGTCTTGCACATGTGGTAGAAATGACAATAAATGACTTTGACTTTGACTTTGACAGAGGATTGATAAAAACATGTTTCGCTGGTATTTTGGTAATCGCTGACATGTTGCACCTGCAGGGTAACCTTAAAGTGAGATAGTAAAAGAGAGAGAAATGAGAAAATTACAAATGAACTATCAGGAGGATTATGGTTAGGAGGATACACAGAGCAGTGGAGAGAAAGAAAAATGTTTAAAATGTGAAACAGAGGAGGAAGAGCCTGCCTAAAGAATCAAAATAATCACAGCTGTGCTCTGACTCTGAGCCACCAAGGTCAATTGCGGCCTGAAGGGTATAACTAGAAAATAAAGATGAAAAATATAATTTGAACAGGTTCTCAAAATTGTAATTTACCTATTTCTTTTTGCTATTAAGCACAGCTGTTGAGTAATTTATTGTATTTGAGCCCCTCCGTGTGGACTTCAGTAAGTCCAGTCAACATATTCCATGCTCAGAATGCATGCTGTCCACTGAGGTGGACAAGTAGTAAAATTATTTGCTAATTATTAAATGTTACAAACAATATCTGTTGAAATTTGTTTCATTCACACCTGAAGATGAATGAAAATAACTGTTAAAAAATCATGGTTGAAGATTTCATAATTCATGCATCAAAAGGTTAAGCACTGGCCAAATATTTAATTCCTGGTATTCTGGTGGTTAATATAATTTGAACTATAAACTGTGTCACTTTTAGTGGCTGAAAGGGAAAGGGTTTTAGTGGAATCCCTCAATTTGAGACATTGACTATTTATCAGTACTTGGTAGTAAATGAGTGCCCAAATAAAAGCTAAGAGTATATATTTTGGTCAAAACAGTAATCCCAGACCAACAAAATGTCAGACCCTGTCCTGTCTCCCCATTCTGTTCAGTCATGTGTCTTTGTTAATTGCTCCCACCTGCCTCTCGTTTTCCAATCACCCAAGCACCCAGCCCTCATGTATTTAAACCCCTTCAGTTCTGTGTCTCTTGTTGGCTCATTGTTTCCATGTCATGCGTGCTCTCCTCATTAAAAGACTGTTACTCGTTCCAGTTTGTCTGCCTGCCTGCTTCCTCCCCAGCGTTTCGATCCCCACCTCAGCTCCACTCACCAGCGTGTTGTGACAGAATGAGCCAACCCATTAAAGGATCCGGCGGGGAGGTTCTCCCTTGGGAGTGTTTGCTCCAGTTTTTAACCTCAGATCACCGGCCGAATTCTCCTCTGGCGTCGTCTTGCCGCAGACGCCGCCGCAGAACTCCAGCCGCGGCGGTCCCCTCCACCCTCCCGGAGCCAGATGAGAGGTTGGACCGGGAGATGCTGCCAGACCGCTCCTGCTACGTGGGCACCAGACTGGCTGTGTGCTCCCCCGGAGTTGTCCCACGGTGTGGGGAAGGATGCCGGGCTCCACCGCAACCCCATGTCCCAGGACGGAGCCACGAGCTCGCCACTGCCCCGGCTTGGCACACCAGTTTGGACCCGCCCCCAGTCGGATCAGCGGTCCCATCTCCGGCCCGGTCAGCGCCTCTGTCATCTGCAGGCAGAGAAACCATGCCCACAACCCAGCAGACAGAGCTCGCCCTATCTCCAGGTGGAGCTTGGTCAGATCCGTCAGCTCGTCAGCCTCTAGGAGTTCCAGCTGGACACCCTATCCTCCCTGAATCACCAGGAGAAGGTTTCAGTCCAGTCAGCAGCTCCCATGTCTCTAGGCCAAAGGATTGAGCCCGCAGTCCACCCAGCAGAGTTCGCTGGTCTCCGAGCTGAGCTGGCCCAACTCCATCAGAGCCTCAGTCTCCAGGAGCTCCAGCTGGACAGCCTGTCCTCCCTGCTCTCTCAGTTACCGGCGCCATCAGTTCAGTCAGCTCCAGTCCCAGCGGTGACCTAAGAGGCTCTTCCCCCGGGCCGGCCTGTCCAGGTGTCAGAGCCCAGTCCGGCGGCTTCAGCCAAGGAAGTGGTCCCATCTGCAGCAGCTCCTCCTCCACTCCAGAAGCCGGCGATCCAGAAGCCGGCGGTCCAGAAGCCGACGCCCCCCTGGCCAGAAATCAACGCCCCCGGACCAGAAGTCGACGGAGGTCAACGCCCCCAGCCCTGAGGTAGACGCCCCCATCCCTGAGGTCGACGTCCCTTCGTGTCCAGAAGTTGACCCCCCAGCCCTGAGGTCAACGCCCCTTTGTGTCCAGAAGTCGACGCCTCCTCGTGTTCAGAAGTCGACGCCTCCACTCCTGTGGTCGACGCCCCGTCCAATCCTGTGGTCGACGCCCCTTCCACTCCTGTGGTCGACGCCCCTTCCACTTCTGTGGTCGACGCCCCTCCCAGTCCAGAGGTCGACGGCTCCTCCCCCAGTCCAGTGGTCGACGGCTCCTCCCCCAGTCCAGTGGTCGACGGCTCCTCCCCCAGTCCAGTGGTCGACGTCGCCGCCCCCAGTCCAGTGGTCGACGTCGCCGCCCCCAGTCCAGTGGTCGACGTCGCCGCCCCCTCCAGACCAGTGGTCGACGCAGCCGCCTCCAGTCCAGTGGTCGACGCCGCCGCCTCCAGCCCAGAGGTCGACGCCGCCGCCTCCAGCCCAGAGGTCGACGCCGCCGCCTCCAGCCCAGAGGTCGACAACGTCTCCTGCCGCATCTCTGCCTCCGGTCACCGCCGGTCCTGCCCTCGCTAGGCGCGAGCCTCCCAGGGCCCGTCGTCTTCTCCTCCTCTGCCCAAGACGCAGGCCCCCAAGAGCCCGTCGTCGCCTCCTCCTCTGCCACAGACGCAGGCCCCCAAGAGCCCGTCGTCGCCTCCTCCTCTGCCACAGACGCAGGCCCCCAAGAGCCCGTCGTCGCCTCCTCCTCTGCTACAGACACAGGCCCCCAAGAGCCCGTCGTCGCCTCCTCCTCTGCCCCAGACGCAGGCCCCCGGACTCTACTGTCCCTGCCTCCTCTCCAACGGTCCATCGGCCCCTCTCGGCCCTCCCTCCGGGTCCCTCTCCTCCCGTCCTGCTCTGTGTTCCTATGGGCGTCTGGGATCTGCCCTTTGAGGGGGGGGGGGGGGTACTGTCACACCCTGTCCTGTCTCCCCATTCTGTTCAGTCATGTGTCTTTGTTAACTGCTCCCACCTGCCTCTCGTTTTCCAATCACCCAAGCTCCCAGCCCTCATGTATTTAAACCCCTTCAGTTCTGTGTCTCTTGTTGGCTCATTGTTTCCATGTCCTGTGTGCTCTCCTCATTAAAAGACTGTTACTTGTTCCAGTTTGTCTGCCTGCCTGCCTGCTTCCTCCCCAGCGTTTGGATCCCCACCTCAGCTCCACTCACCAGCGCGTTGTGACACAAAACTAGTGATTATTGTCAAATTGCAATCTATCTCCTTTTTTTAAGTCTTTGTCTCTGACATTTTAAAATAAGACAAGAGAGTTCTTAGCGAATGACAATCGAGCCTGGGCAACAGCAGATATGGTGTACAGCACCTGTTGAAGTAGAAAACTGCATTTTGAACATTAAAAATATCAGTTGTCATGAACTGAATCTCCTGGTGTCTGTCAAATGTAGGAATTTGTTCAGTTCCCCGATTAACGGACATTGTGTGATCAGTTTAGCACATAGTGGCTCAAGACAATGATTTGAAAATGTGAAAAAATTGCAAAGTATGGCTTTAATAAAACACACATGCATGACATTATTGTATAAAAGGCAACTCAATTGAATTCTAACATAAGGTTTAGGAGATGTAATAAACAATGATGTCTAGAAGCAAATGTGGCATTTTATTTGGAGGTCTTACCATCCTCTGGTATGGGTCTGGGGTGTTATTAGCCACGTCCAGCAGCTCGCTGTACTCCAGCTCTTCACACAACCTCTGCAGCAGGTTAACCGGCTCGTTCAGTGCAGCCGGCATTGAAACACGAGCCAAGTCTTTACCTGAGCAAGAACGGCACACACACTGTTCAAACCAACATATTCATTTAAAAATCGACTTTATCTTTGAGATGCAATGAGAGGTTCCTGCCTATGTTATTGTAGAGGATGGCCATGAGGCCGACATGGCTGTTATCAGGGCAGTGAGCTGGTAAAGCTGTCCGACGTCCGGTGCTCTTAGGAACAAAGTTGTTCGGAGTCCTGGAGATGCTTGCACGGTACTTCCTGGTTGTTGATGCTTCGAGGTAGGTGAAAAGAAGGATTATTAGATTCGTAATCAATTTATTCATGCTCCAGTATTAGACAATAAACACAGATGAATCATTGCTGGTTAACTTTAAGATAAATACTAAAATCAACTTGCAAACGTGTTCAGAAACACCCTAGAAACATGATCAGTTTGCAGTTTGCTCTGGTTTAGGCAACTGAGTTTGGATGATTTTTATTCTGATTACACTTAAAATCACCAGAGTTCACATGTGAGATTATGGTTTATATAGTCTATAATTAATATGCATGTATTAAATACAGAAAGCTGTAGGTTTTGCTTTTGAAAAGACACCAACAAAACTTTAACAAAAGAATCCTTTTCTGTTTTATCGTTCAGTTATGAACAACAACCAGTCCATCACATAAAAATGTGTAGCCCTGCTAAAGACTCACCGTGTCCCTCCTCTGGCTCTGAGTTGGTGGTGCTTCCATCGCTAAGTCCCGACTCATCTGACACCTCAGAGGAACTACCACAGAGGATATCGTCACTGGCATCAAAATACTCTGCAGCTGAATCTGCTACTGAAGGCGGCCCGTGGGATGGTGCAGGCTGATGGTGGAGGAGGAGAAACAAGGAGAAATGTAGGAAAACATTTTTTGTGAAAATAATGGAGGAAGGCAGCATTCATCTTACCACAGCTAAAGTGTTTGATTGGTGGACGTTGTTGGCCTCCCAGGCTTCCTGCAGCTTTTGTCTCTCCAGGGTCAGAGTTTCATGAACTGATTTTAGAGAAGCAAGCACTAAAGGGGAATAAAACAGAAATGTCTAACGTTCACATCTTGTTTAGATAAGATGTCAACACGTTCACCATTTTCTAAATGTATCAAAACCCATTCAAGTCTTTGTAATCTACTGTCTGTGTCTCTGACCTCGCAGTGACATGGTGCAGATGTCCTGCTGAATTTTCTTGCCCTCAAGGGATACGACGGAGAGAGGGGACAGCTGAGAGTAGACGTAGTCGGGAATGGAGGGCACCGAAGCCCCGAGGTGGGACGAGCTACTCAGGTGATTGGAGGACAGCTGTGAGGTGAGCAGGAGGACACACCGGGTCACTGATTGATTCAGGAGTTCCCTTGTTATCAGGCTGTGTGATGTGTGTCTGGTTTAAGATGCTATCTAGCAGAGAGTCTGTCTGGCTCTACATGCACTCAGCTGGGCTAGATCAACAAGCTGGCCAGTGGCCATTGAGCGCCAACAACATCTTAAAACACCTGAGCAGTTCTTGCTGCTTTTTTCACCTTTATCATTTGTTTTTCTTTTACCTCTTTTATTTCTTTTGTACCCAGATTTTATCAGCCCAACACTTAGCGGTAGCAACTAGCTCATAGCAGCTTGAATTTTTCTAACAGTAGAGTAAAGTTTTATAAACAAACCTGCACTAAAACCACTTGTAACTGTTTTAAATTGCTGTTGTTTTAAGCCAGTAGTTGTTTTTTTTAGGTAAAACTAATGTTTATTTATCCAGTTTGAGGTTGTTCAAAAGGATACCTAAAGCAGTTTAAATGTAAATTTTACACAAACTATGTACAAAAACAACTTCTAAATATCTGAGCCATCCATTTAAAGCTGACTGGATATCGGCTTTCATTTAGTGTGTTATTTTATGTGAATGTTTTAGCTAGCTGGCTTTTTAAGTTGTTTAGAAATATATACAGTATAGAAAAAATATTTAAAACACAAACACGCTTATTTTTTCTATCAGTTGAAATCATCATCCAACATCTTTGTTTACCAAAGTCATCACTGAGTTAGCCATTTTTTAAGCAACAGGTTAATTTTGGTTTGGTTATGCACGCCTGCTACCTCCTAAACTAATTTAAAGCAAACATTCTTAACACAAGTGTAACGTCCAGCAATGGTCAGTTTAGGTACAGCCTGACCTTTCAACATCTATTCAACATCTGGTCAGAAAGGAGACACAACATTGCATGTGTTCCCTTTAAATGAGCCTGTCTTCATACCAGCTCACAGACTCTGCAAATCTGAAAGATAAACAACAACTTTCTTTCCCAAGGTTCGATCTGTCTGCCTCCACAGAAGGAACAACTCCAGCTCGAATCAGTTGCTAAAATCAAGAATGATTTCTTAAATCAATATGAACTTCTTCCGTGACTTATAATCTAGATAATCATTAAATAAACATTTGTTTATTACTACTTATAATAATTATAGTATAATGAAATGCTTCATTAATCTGTGCCCATTGAATGGATGTTATGTTATGTTTGTTTACTAGAAGCTGCCATGTGTTCAACATGTTTTGACGATGAGGTCCTCACACCTGCACTCACACAATAACAAGTAAGGTTAAGTTAAACTCCAACACATAACTTGCCCTTTTAACCAGTCAGAACATTCGGTATCAAAGAAGGCGTTTTTCTGAGTTGTCTTGGTAACATCTCCCAAGCTGTCAGCCTTTGATTGGCTGTGCAAGTCATAAAATCAAAACCTTAAAACTGGATCATCCTGGGTGATTCGACAGTTCTAGAGAATTACTCAGACCGGCCATCTGCAGCAAAACCTCTTTAACCATCAAAGATTTTGACAGGTCGTCAAAAACCTTTTTGCACCTGCAAAGCTGATGAGCAAACAGTTCCTGCAGAAACAAAGCTGATATTGTTAGACTCCTTAAGAGTCCGCCAGACGCACGGTTCCATCCAGCTGTTGTGACCCGAGACATCTCTGGACTGAAGAGTCGGTACCACGGTATTCTACAGCCCTGCAAATTATTTGGTTTGCTCAAAGCTATAAAGTTCTTATCATCAGAAGAACATCAGACGCGATCTGTCATGTCTACTTCACCCATTTTGGAGAGACCCTCTTGGTGGATCCGAAAGTTGCAGGTTTCAGCTGACCTCTGGCACCGATTGCGATGATCATCTAGATTATAAGTCATGGAAGAAGTTCATATTGATTTAGAAAATCATTCTTGATTTTAGCAGCTGATTCGAGCTGGAGTTGTTCCTTCTGTGGAGGCAGACAGATGGGACCTTGGGAAAGAAAGTTATTGTTTATCTTTCAGACTTGCAGAGTCTGTGAACTGGTAAGAAGACAGGCTCATTTAAAGGGAACACATGCAATGTTTTGTCTCCTTTCTGACCAGATGTTGAATAGATGTTGAAAGGTCAGGCTGTACCTAAACTGACCATTGCTGGACATTACACAAGTATCGTAATAACATTAGAGAACATTGTTAGCATAGTGGGGATGGTGTGAAAAGTTTTTTTTAATGTTCTGCTTATTGCAAACTCACCGATTTGGTAATCCCACGAACAGGCTTTGGATTAGATTAAAGAAAGGCCCCAAAATGTTACTGGATAGTTGAGATGTCATATTTATAGACCCAATATTTTCAGACAATTTTGATCAAATGTTCTTACTACAGTTCTGTCAACCAACAATCTATTTAGGATAAATGACCAACAGTCCGCTCTTACCATCCCCAGGGCCTCCACTCTGGACAGGGTTCGAGAGTGACCCCACATCTTTCCTGACTTTGGCTTCTTTGGCTTCTCAAGAGACAGATTCTGCTCCAGAATCAGATTAATTTAATATTTACATGAATGCATAATACAAAACAGTTGAATCCGTGTGCACCTGTATGCTGATGATCCGCTGCAGATCCCCGTTAGTGAAGGAGTGGCCCACCTCCAGAACCTGAAGACTCTGAATCAAACGGTTCAGCTCAGAAAGGTCCAGATTACAGCGGTTCAGTTCTGAAGGAAAACATGGTGTTTGACCTCATTTAGAGTTTTATTCTAGGCATTCCTAGGGTTTTTATTGTAACGTTTTTGAACACATATTTTCCCTTCAAATTTTTGCTTGTTTTGCAAAAATGTCTTTATTTGCTCTTTAAAAGAGCATAAATGGGTCTGAACTAGTAGGTAAATTTGTATTTTTTAATAGTCTTTTTTTGGGATTATTTTGGCATTTTCTGCTTTTGAAGCTGTCTGTCTAACAAACACCTTGAACACATGTGACTGGGTCATGGCTTTGCCTCAGCCACGCTGACACCTTGGAGTTCACAGCTGTGTTGGCCGATGGTAAGACCCCCGACCCTCCAGATGGATCCTCCATCCCTGCAGAGCTCTGACAGCATGGAAACGGGGACACGGAGACACAGGATGATCAGACTCACTTCTAATAAGGGTGCTCTGTAAATATTTATTTTACTCTATTTTATAGTCACCAAATCTCCATTTTTCTGAGCTTGTCCAGCTGACGCTGTGTGGGACAAAATCTGTATGATGCTGCTGTGAGCATTAGCTGTCTCGTTCTTTTTGTAAAGACGGTGTGCTTGTAGCTTGGTTACCCAAATGTAGAAGAGGTCATGACTCTTTGCCTTTGGGGAGGAAATACGTAACATTTGTCATTTAAATATGATGAGACACTATTTCTTTGTTTGGCACAGCATTTATTTAGCACGTTTACCTTGATGTGATAGAGAATGTCTCCTGTATCCAAGTCAATCCGATTAGATTTCTTGTTAATTGACATCACAGCTAGGCTAACATCTAAAGAACCCTGAACTCTTCCCCTGGACACCTTAGTAAAAAAATAAAAAAATTAAAAAGTTAGATTATGAAAACACTAAATTACATTTTAAAAAGTTGTTTTGAAAAAAAAAAGCTACAAAACACTGATGTTAAATTATATTTAACCAGCAGTTTTGATACAGTAAACAAACAATCCATGTTTGCAATGTTTTTATCATACAACATTTTTCAGTAGAACGTGTAAATTTGCTTTTCTTTTTAAAGATTTTACATTCACTCACATCTTGATGACTTTTGGAGTAGCGCAAGGTTCCACCTTCCAGGACAAAGTATCTCTACAATAAAAGAAATGGATGTTAAGAGCTGACTCACACATCCAGCAGCTACTTCAGGTCTAACCCCACCTTGTGCCAGCCCTTCAGAGGCCACTTCCTCCTCTTCAGCAGATACCCTTCACAGATTCCTGGAGTGATCATGACCTGAGGACTCTCTCCTCCCACATTCATGTCTGCATGAAAGTCGTCAATCACTTCCCAGTCTTTGATTATCTGAGAGCAAGGGCAAAAAAAAGATCACTTCGGAAAAGAACTTTTATAGGTTTAGACAATTTGATCCAACATTTAGTGGGAAATATGTTCTTTAAAAGGCTCATTCATCAAAATTATCAAATCTTTTGGAAGAAACTATTGAACCATGATTTAAAGATCAAGCGCTCTGATTTATGTACTTTTGGTGAACTTGTGAACAGTTGGTGTTAGTAACAAAAATAAACAGTTATCTATTTCTAAATTAAATAATGAATATATTTTAGGATTGAAACTGAGCAGTACAAACTGTAGCTACTCTGGTCTGCTCAACAAATTGGACTTCACGCTCCGTACTGATGTCCACAGACATTTATTTTCTTCTGTAGCGTCATGAATGTCCTGTTTTTGACCAAAAAGTCATGATCTGCTGCGTCTGCTCAAGCAGAGACATAAAGTCTCTGACAGGCTAATCTACATGAGATAGGGGCCAAGGTCTTTCATGCACTCTGCTCATCTGAACTGCTTCACCTCTGTTACAGCTCAATACGAAGACGAAGAACTCTCTTTTGATAAACACATAATCAAACAACTTTGTTATTACCAATAATAATGTGAGCCCAATGTTCAATCAATCTGTGAATTGACAATGTTAACACTTGATATTATACTTCTGTGATCAGTAGTATTTTACAAGAAATTATAATCCTGGACATTTGCACTAGACACTGAGGACACGTAATGCTAAAGTCACACGACACATTTCCTTTTATCTGATCCAATCAGAACCTTTGTTTCTGGCGCGAGGCGTGGTTTTCTGTGGTGTTTGTATAAACCCTCTTTTGCATGTCAAATTCTGATTCGCCAGTAAACCAAAATATGACAATTATAAAAACTATTCCACGCCACCTTTTCTTTAGTTCAAAGCGTTCTAGAGAAGTCTCGGACAGGCCATCCGGACTTTCTCTTCAGCTAAAGAACCTCGACAAGCTGGATAAAATCTGTTGAAAGTTACACCTGACCGCAACGGTTCCTTCAGAATAAAAGCTGAACCTCACGACCCCTTCAGGGTCTCGCTGACGCCAATGAACCTGTCGTGACCTGGAAGCATTCCAAGACTAGTTTGGTCGGTACCGCTGCTTTTCTACCGGCTTCGGTTCCAAGGAGGGTCCAAGAGGACCTCGACATTCTGGATCTAATCGGAGGCTTCTCCTGGGGTACGTAGACCGACAGATGGCGTTTCATGTGTGTTATAAATCTTCTACTAAAGTTTAGAGCGAAACACTCACACCCACTCAAAACTAAATGCTTCTCCGGATCCGCTGGTTCTGAATAACATTCCACACACACACCATCATTCATCTCACGTCTCACTCCACCTTAGTTCCATCAGTACATAGAGTGTTTAAGTTAGTCTAGTTTAAATTGTGAAGAAATAAATTTCTTAACTATTTTAAACCCGACTCTCTCTCTTTCCTTGGAGTTAATACGAAGTGTCGCTTAATCCCTGCAATAAAAATTTCTGATCTTCAGGTTAAAATATTCAAAGATCCATCAGATTGATATTTCATATTCTATGGAATCTCACATTTTATGGTTCATAAGTAAGATGTAAACTACCCATCCTTTACACTTCAAACACTCAGAAGGTTGTGGTACACCGTGAAAACTAAAAATAAATCAAATATCTTAATTGAAATTCTTAATAATCTCAATAACAACACAATTACAACATTAAAAACAATATTACTAACCGTGTGCGCCTGTTTGACCAGTAGTAGACACACAAGGAAGATATCACGTCTTTATCGTAGCTTTCTCTTACTTCTTTCACATACCATACCATACCATATTTATTTATAAAGCACCATTTCAAAATAGCATGGCAGCTAACAAAGTGCTGTACATAAAAAAGCCAAATGCTTGACCAAGAAACACAATAAGAACAGGCAAAATACATAAGAACAAAGCATAAATAGTCGGAGATAAAAATTCCTACTAAAAACAATAAAATAGGAGAACAGTTAAAAGCACTATAAAAATAAAATAATGCGACGAATAATAAAAACATTTGAAATGGCACAAATAAAACGAAATAAAATACCAGATGGTGCAAGGTGCCAAAAATGAGCAACTAAATCATAAAAACTAAATCAAAAACTCAAATCCGGTGCTAGATTGTCATGAAAAGTGTCACGGAGGGAAGGCAATGCTAAAGAAGTGTGTTTTCAGGGCCGACTTGAAACTGCTAACAGAGGGAGCCAGACATGTAGATATGTCTTCTTCATGTCACAACAACTTTCTCTCGAGCACTGGTGGTTTCATTATAAATTTAACACTCTAACCTATAATATTCCTTTTAAATGGTTGACCAGTTAACAATATAAACCAAAAATAAAGCTCGTAACACGTTTGAACTCGTTGTTGTCATGAAAACATAACCGGACTTTTCTAGCATCAGCTACACAAACTTCAACAAACAAGATTTTAAATTTTCTTTAAAATAATAAAAACATTTCTTTTTTATGATTTGTGGAAAAGTGGATTTGAAGTTCAGTTTCTGAAAGCAGTTAACTGGAACAAAAATTATTAGAAAATGACTTTTGTTTCTCTTTATGCAATTCTGTGTATACATGTTCTGCTGTGATTTAACCCAACCTTGTTGTTTGTGTTCATAGATTACATCCAACATGTCAGGACTATTGTGTTTTTAACTGACTGTTTTTGAGCAGATCCACGAAAAGATCAAAAGTAAAACACAACATCTTGGAGTAAGGACCGAAAGCATTTTGGTGTTGGGCCTTTTATGTATAATTTATGTTTAATCCAGATTAGGACAGATTCTTAACACTCATTTTTCCTTTGTGAATTATTTGCAGTCACACATAGATTATATTATACACTGCCTGGCCAAAAAAAGTCACCACCTTGATCTGTAAGCTAATAGATACGAGTCTCCTATTGTATAATTACTGCACGGGCAAGTGTCTTTCAGCTAGCAACAAGTTATTTAACCCTAACTGGTGCATTGCGTTGCTTCTCATTTCTTAAACAACCATGAGGAAAGACACATCTGGTGGTCGAGGAAAAGATGTTAGTCTGTTTGAGAAGGGTCAGATCATTGGCATGCATCAAGAGATTGTAGACATGACTAAAACTGGGTTAAGAACTGCACAACGAATTATTAAAAACTGGTCTGATGAGTCCAGATGGACCCTGTTCCAGAGTGATGGTGCATCAGGGTAAGAAGAGAGGCAGATGAAGTGATGCACCCATCATGCCTAGTGCCTACTGTACAGGCCTGTGGGGCCAGGGCTACGATCTGGGCTTGCTACAGTTGGTCAGGTCTAGGTTCAACAACAAGAATGAGGTCAGCTGACTACCTGAATACACTGAATGACCAGGTTATTCCATCTTCCCTGATGGCACGGCCATATTCCAAGATAACAATGACAGGATTCATCGGGCTCAGATAGTGAAAGAGTGGTTCAGGAGCATGAGGCATAATTTCCACACATGGATTGGCCACCACAGATTCCAGAACTTAACCCCATTGAGAATCTTTGGGATGCGCTGGAGAAGGCTTTGTGCTGCGGTCAGACTCTACCATCATCAATGCAAGATCTTGGTGAAACATTAATGCAACACAAATCTTGTGACATTACAAAAGCTCATCAAAACAATGCTTGTTACTGATCCATTAGTGACCTCTAACTGACTTGTTACTGACCTGCAAATTACATGTTTATGACTAGTTGGTGACTTGCTACTTACCTGTTAGTAACTTTTTACTGACGTGCTATTGACCTGTTACTGACCTGACTTGTAACTGACCTGTCTGGAGTGACGAGACGACAGCGTGCTGCTGCTGTGAGATAGAGCTGGTTTGTTCCACGATGGTGATGTTTTCTCCAAACCACTCGCCACTGACTGGCTGCGATTGAGTGAAGACCCATTTGAGTCCATTTCAGAGCGCAAACTCTTCTTGTTGTGATCTGCTGATCATTAAAAATCACCATCTGCATTCTGCCAAAAGCCTCTGGAGGGTTACAGAGAGATCGAATTAGATGAGAGGTAATGATTATCTCTGAAATAAGAACAGCAGCCTTCTGGTTGGACTTAAAGAATAGAAAAAGAGAACTTTCAGGATTTCGAAAGCTTTGATTTAAATTATTTTTTATAATTATTTTTCTGCCAGAATGTTTAACCCTTCAGCTAAAAAACAAAACAAACACCTATTGCAAAGTCACTTAGTCCTCTTGCTAAATTCAAGTGACTATTTTTATTCACTGCATAAAGTTAATGCCCCATTAGTCATCACACACTGGTGAAATTACAACTGTGCATTGACCCATCGCCACGGGGAGCAGTGAGCTGCAGCTGTGGCTGCGCTTGGGAACTATTTGGTGGTTTAACCCCCCAATCCAACCCCTTAAAGCTGAGTGTCAAGCAGGGAGGCGTTTGATCAGAATTTTAAAGTCTTTGCCATGACCCGACCAGGATTTGAACCCTGATTTCCCAATCCCACTCTACAACTGGGCCACTGAGAAGGTCAAGGAGAACTAAATAAAAAATGTAATCCTATTTGTGCTCAAATAGAGCTCTACTCAGGATTGTATTTAATATATTATAAAGACTCCCAAGCACTGTACAGTAAATGTATTCACACACTGATGAGCTACATCATAGCCACAGCTGCCCTGGGGCACACTGACAGTGGTGAGGCTGCTGTAAACAGGCAGTCCCTCTGACCACCAGCAGGCGAGGAGGGTGAAGTGTCAAGGACACAACGACTGACACAGGCAGGGTCTGTGTTCAAACTAGCAAGCCACCTTTTCATTTACAAGGTGAACTTGAGTCACAGCGCTTGTTTATCAGTCAGGTTTGTTGACTCTAAGAAGTTAAACTCAATGAAAGTTTTGCTATTTTTTGGGACCACTTTAATTCTGATTTGGCAACATGTTTATTCAGCCTTTTCAATACAAAATAGACACTAAATAGACCCAAAACACCAGAAGATTTGACCACAGGCTTGTTACGTTCATTCAAGTATTTAAGAGTGAGAACCAGCAGCAGCATTTCAATGTTTCAGGGTAAAAGCAGAAATACATAAAGATGTCATGTTTATTTCAGATTACTTTTTACAAACATCGCTCTGAACTGATGATAAAATTCAACAGAACATCCAGATTTATGTTTATAAAGTGCAACTATTGCCAGACTTTCAACTTTTTTTAAAAACCACAAATCAAATTTACCTAAATACCCAAAGCCTGTTTTAAAAGAGTGGCTTTTGGTTGTTAATCCAGTGTTGTATGTGACACTATGGCCAAGCCTGCCTGCCTGCCTGCTGGAGGAAGATTAACTTCCACCTAATTGGTTTTTCAGGAGATATTTTTAGCAGCTTGAAGCGACTTGGACAGCAAGCAGCTCGATTTCAAGCCAGCGAGCTCTGACATGACACTAAAAGTGCTCCGTAATGATTGTCGTCTCCGAGGTGCAACAAGAGCAGTAATGTTTCAGAGTAAAAAATATATACAACTGTGGTTGTGAAACATTTTATTAAATAACATGCAATTTTTTTTTTTTTTTTTAGAAAAATCCATATCAGAAGGTTTTTAGTTTTTCAAAACAGTTTGCAGCATTTTGTGTTTGAGTTTGCTCACTAAGCCTCCAGGTTCAGCTTAAGGATTTTGGGTAAAATCAAGAGTGGGTCCTTTTTTATTCTAACAGACTTCCTGCAGTTTTTAGAGCTTAACAGGAGAGTTTGAGGCAGCTCAGCTCAGCTGGTGGAGTTATGCAAGGGCGAAGGGATGATGAGAGTAAATGACCTCAGTAATGAAAGCATGATGTGGTGAAAACAGGATGAAAGGATTTGGAGGAGTTTGCTTGTTCCAGAGGGAGCACTATGTAGAACATTAAAATTTGTATTGAAATAAAACCATTTATGTAACACCCAAAAGCTAATCTGGTGATCTTTAATATTAGCTTTGATTTTTTTATAACATCTATTGTTGATAATTACTTTGTTTGGCTAAAAGAGAACAGATTATTCACAGTTCAGAAGTTATAAATCAAAATCTTCCCATGAGTTGCCTAAAGAGGGAAACTGATGACCAAGAAGGCAGCCAAGGTGGAGGAGGTATCTTGCCAAAGGGTGGGATTAAGGTACACAGATTATGACGGGTATGTTCTCGCACAGGAAATAAAGAATGAAGCAGCAACACAAGAATCAGCTGTGTTCATAACAGAGTCAGAAATAGTCACCCTGACCTGCAGAGTTAACAGCTGTGTTTAAGGGTGTTGCGTTGTTTTCATTTAGACTGGTTTTATTCGGATTTACGTTTATGTTTACCTGTCATGTAAAACTGGTCCTGTGCATTTAATTTTTATTAATTTACTGTTTCTTCTTAAGTAAATATTTAAAACACCAAACTATGATTTCAGATCTCAGCAACAGGCAAACGTTTTGATGTTAACGTCATTTAAATGCAGCTGATGGACCTCTGAGCCTTTTGTAAACGTTTAAAAGTCTAATTTGACCCCTAAAGACGTTTCATCTGTCAAACTAACTTTTAAGGATTTTAAGCATTTATTCAAGACATGCCGGGTGAATCCTGGTCTGATGGTTTATTACAGTTAAAAACTTTTATGAAACATATAACAGATCACGTTTTACATTTTAATAGACGCTCTTACCTGAATCTGACCTCCGGCTCTCATCATCCGCTAAAGTCTTCTGACTAATCCAACAAAAATCTTCTCTGTGGATGAAGAATAAACCTGAAGTGACAGAAGCGTATCTATCCTCAAATTAAATGGGAATACACGCTGTTTATGCAGATTATGACGAGTTTGGGACACGTAATCTGACGGGCAGTGTCTTCTCTGCCGGCGGCTTCCGTCCCAATCCAAGGAGCGCTGCGCGTCGCGGACAGCGCGCGCCGTGCGCAGTGTCCTGAGTATTATCCGCATTAGCAGGAATTAAAGCGACTGTCTCAGATGGAATGGAGAGGAAACGTAGCTCTACTCACTCCACACAACCAGGTCACTCATGGAGCTGCAGCCATGAGTTTATAATAGTAAATTCACTGTTGTTGGATGAGACAAAACGCAAAATTACGCGCGAACAATCCGCTATAGATTGAAATCCGTTTAATCTAACTAATATTAGCTGTTATTGTCGTGCATACTGTAACAGTTTGTGCCTAATCAATATTTTTATACATTTCCTTTTGCTGGACAGAGTAATGTGTCTAAGAATGGCTGGGCATGTTAGCCTAATTTACCCAGATTAACATGTAATCTGCATATTAACCATCAGAATCTGTAGCCGCCTGTGTTTACTTTGGTTAAAGTTTTTGTTTAAATTATGCAACTAATATCATGGAACATCTCATTCAAGAGAAGTGTTGAAACGAATAGTTTACATTCAAGTTTAATCAGGTGTTTTGTAAGATTTTGCTTTTTACTTCCAAATGCTTTAATCTGAGAGCCCCGTCAGGTTTGCCTTTCTATTCATTTTCAGGATTTTTTAATATGGCTATTATATTGTTTCTATTTAAAATATTTTAGTGTCTTTGATCTGTTTTTGATTAATAATTTAGTGCCATAAATTATAGTTTTACAAATAAAAACCAGTAGGAAGTCAAAAAACAAAAGAATGAGTCTGAGCAGAAACGTTCTCTTTTAATAACAAAGTATCCTTAAATAAGGGGTTCAACTATCATTTCTGCAGCATTGTCCGTTTGACGCACCTTGATGTTAAGATGCACTGATAACATTCATGTTTACTCTCATCTGAACACAGTGTGCCTCCAGCTGCAGTTCATCTTTGCTTCTTTTAGCTGCACGATCAGTCTCAAAACGTTCCTGTGGATCTCTATGTTGCCTGCTCTGCTGTAGGACTGGCCTCTGTGCCGTTGTTTGGGTTCTGCTGTTTGATGTACTGCTGAAGCAGAGAGGAGAGGTGGGCCGGGTGGCGCTGCAGCAGAGAGGCTGTGTGGGAGGTAAGCATCGTCAGCCCACTAACTAGCTCCCCCTGTACAACGGTCATCGCTGGAAGTTTGGAGTAACTGACAATGCCCTGAACGCTCAGTAAGGTGTCATCTATGCAGGCGCCTGCAGAGACAAAACAACCATCCATCACTCTTTGGTGCTGCAGAGTTCATCTGTGGGAGCAGATACAACACTCACCTAAAAGTGTCATCTGTGGGCTGGCCCTCAGAGAGGTCAGCATCTCCTTTACCTTCGGTTCTTTACTGACAAGCAGAACTGTCGGCCCAATAAACAGAGGAGCCATGTTGCAATAAATAAAGTTGATCAGGAACGGCCGAGTCACCTGCAAATTCACATATGAAAGCTTAAAATACCCCACAAGTACAATTTCAATTTACCACAGGTGTGTCCTGATACACAAAAATACAAACTCAATTATAAACAGTCATAATTGGACCTAGTTTAGCATGTTGTTGAAGGACTCATCTGTGTTTTTAGAACCTGAACACGTAAAGGACAATAAAATGTAAAAATAAGTAAAAATCTAATCAAATTCTAATTAAACATTTGCCTTCTGCATTGATGAACTTATAAGATTAACATTGTTTTTGCAGAATGCATGAAGGGATGGGGAGCTGCTTTTTGTTATAGATCTGAATGCAAACTTAAGAGTGGACCTGTTTTGATAAATTACACAAACAGCAGATATTCATCACTTGTACCTTGTTTGGGAAGAACTTGACACTGATTCCATGTTTATGAAGTCTGTGCTTCAGAATAACCATGTCCTCAGCATTGCCGCAGTTGTTCTGAACCACAGCGATCATTTTGTAATCCTCAAATATTTTCTTTAAATCCTTCTTCTGGAGTAACATCAAGCCATTATCCTGATGAAATCAAAGAGAAGAGACTTCTAGCAAACTTTTACTCCCATATCTGTTGACAGTGATGTGAATACAAAATGCTCTGAAACTCATGAAAGCATCATTTTAAACAGAGGATGAATGCATGATTAAATACCAATGCATTGTGTGTTTTGGCAAAATAAGGTTGAAATTAGCCATTAAAAATTAAAATATTTAACTGCAACCTCCAGTTCCCAGATTTGTCATAAAATAATTACATTTGCACACAAGTTAATTATCTTATTCTGGCTCTAAATTATATAGACGGAGAGACAAGGGGTTGCTGTGACTGGGTGACATTGTTGCCGATTTACCTCCTGGTTGTGATCACTTTCTGATGGGTAGGCTCCACGGGGAAAAGGCTGGGGTGGAGGAATGTACTTTGTGACAGCCAGGAGCTTCTGTTTGAGGATGTGAAGTGGTTTCCTGTGACGGGTCACAGCCTTGGAGCCATGTCGAACTGTCTGAGTGAGAGGAAGCCATCCTAGAAGCCACAAAATGTTCTAGATTAGTGTTTGATGAAGACACGGGGATTTGATTAAAATTTGTATCCACATCCATTTATTTTTGTGTGTATTTCTACGGTCCAAAACCGTTTCCCCAACCAACGTCTTCAGATTCATTTGACTGTCATCCACAGCAGGTTGGAAACATCGGAGGATGAGATGTGCTACTCAGGTGAGCTAAAATAAATAATTGCATACTAAAAATACAGTAAACAATGGACTGATGACTGCTCAAGGATCAGAGATCATGTTCATAACCAACTCAGTGAAGAAGACATCCTTGTTGTCTGACCTTTGAGGCTGATCAGTTTTCTGCCCGAGGGAAGGAGAGTAACTGGCTGGGCTAAGGTTGATTCTTACCCCTCTAGGTTTCTTCCTTCCTGCTAAAATGCTCTGTTTTGGCAAAGGAAAATAAAATTATCTTGCACTTCATGAGGAAATAAACCAACTGTATGTTTTTGACTTGTGTGATTTGGGAAATAACCTAACTCAGCACCCATCTTAAATAGTAATATTAGTGATATTCTGCAACCAGGGTGTGTTCCCTGTGCTGAAATTAACAATAACGAAGAATTTCCTTTATATCAATTATCTTAAAATTATCTGACCATTAAAGGTTAAAGAGAAAACAGCGAAGCATAATGTAAAAATGTTTTTGACCAGGTAGCATATCGTAACACAGGCTGCTAAGCTAACCCAGCTAACCGGTAACACTTCCGATATTAACTTTAACCAAAGCTAAGAACCATGCTTAGAACACATCGAACAGTAGCTACTTTAACAACCTATTTACTATCCAGCAGATAGTTTGGTGAATATGTTGTTAAATACCATATATATGATGTCCATTACCATGTTTTGGAACGAACTTCGCAAACAAGGTCGCGGCCATCTTTAACAGAAAGAATGAGTGACGTTGGGAAAATGCTACATTCGCTTACATTCTGTAAAACAGAAAATTATACAATTTAAACGTGAAATTGTGTCCCTGTGGCAACGTCTTGATTGCTCAAGTAGAAGCTAGTACATAAAAAATGTGTATCTAATACGGTGATGATTTCGGATTGAAGTGTAATCGACAAATACACTTTGAATTTACGAAAACTTGCATTACATGAACGCCTCACTACGAACAAACGTCGGTTTTCAGTTTAAATTATTTTTATTGCAAACCCACATTTTATTGATTTTGTATAAATATACAAAATCTAACTATTCCGTGTGATTTGAGATTAATTTTCTTCTCTTTCCAACAGTGACGGCTGCACGTTTATCTTTTTACGTAAAGGACGTTACGTCAGAGTAATTTTGACAGTATGAGGCGCATACTCAGTACGAATTTATTAAGACGTTTCATTTTGTTCGACAGAAATCTTCCCTTCAGCAGTCCTCTGTCAGCGGTGAAACAAGGTGCTTTTGTTTTAAACTTGTGCCGTAAAGCGAGCAGTGACAGCATGGATTTGAGCCACATGAGGAAGAAGTACAAAGGAGACGAAGAGGTGAGGAGCATTCAGGGGGAGCGATAGGGTGCACTGCACCGAGAAATTTAGGTAATCAGAAAGCATGCTTCGTGACTGCAAGGTCAGGCGGCATCTGGCAACGCTGACCATTACCTGTATGGGGGTCTGGTTTTTGTTCCGCAGTAAGCACAAGCTTGTACTTTGATTTCAATAACGTACACTTATAAAAAGCTCAACCAAACCTTCCACATATAAAATACAGATTCATGTGCTCAATGAGCACACATGAGTGATTTATTAGAGCTGGATAAAGGGAGGAATCAGGCTTATAATGAAAAATGTACCAGAAGAGACGTTATTTATCCTCAAATTAATAATGTGATAAACTCCCAAAGCTATAAAGAGTGGTCAGATCTTTTGACCTTTATCTGTAAAGATTTGTAACTATAACATATACCTGATGCAAATGGCTCTTTGAACAATCTCAGTTTGGAGAAACAAAGATTAGTTCTGTCCTGACATGTCAAGTCTAATTTATACTTCACCATCTGCTTGAGTGTGGAGTCACGCACACCCTTTGATGGAGATGTATTTCCTTCAGACTTTGCCGTTACCTGGGAAGTGTGGCAACGTAATTCGCCACCAGAACAGCAAAGGGCGTCATGCCATCATTACAGTCATGTATCTGGTCCAAGATAGTGTATTTACTATTGTGTTTACATTGTTTTAATGTATTTCAGATACTTTATAACACAGACAAATTTGTCCCGCATTCTCTTCCACCTCTTCATGCGGTCGCCACCTCTAAACCCACATTTATAGTCATTTCCATCCACGTTTAAAACACTTGCTGCTTATCTTTGTACTCCTTCAGTCACGAGTGAATAAACATTCATATTTTCAGGCTTTTTCCGCGAGGCGTTCTTTCATCTTTTCCAATTCTGCCGCTAAATATGTTCTTATTTTTTTGAGGGGACAATGGCGTTGCTGTTCAGTCACAAGCTTGCGGACTCCATCACTTTTGACAGATTGGTAAAAAGTTGGACATGTCTCCGCCAGCCTCTGCAAACCCGCCGGAGAGCCCTTGCACTGATGTGTAATGACGTTGTGTGTGTTTGCATCCACACAGATGGTGAAGTATGAATTAGGCTTTAACCATATGTGAGTCTTTGTGCTGTTTTAAACCTGCTATAAAACATTTTAAAAATGTTAACAATGTCAGATTTGAATTTCATACAGAAATAATTAAAGGTATGGGACGCTTGTTTAATCAATACATTTGCAGTGGTCTCTAGTAGGAATGAAGGCCTTGTAAGTCATACTCAGGGAGGGGGTAGAAGCGCCTGTATCAGCACAAAGAAGTCAGCTGGAGGAGAGAGTGGCAGTACATGGCAGGATTTGGAGTATCATTTTCTGATATTTGGATATCTTGCCTCTGACTGGCTAACAGCAAAACGACTCTTCCACTGACTCTGTTTGCTCTGCAACGTTGACGTTTTATTTCCAAAAATAATACAAGCCTGGAGGAGTTTTGCTGTGCGGTGGAGTTGCTAATTCTAAGAGTTAGCTTAGTCGAGACGTTCTCTGCTGTTTCGTGGACCTGAGTCCACAGCCTTCCCCATTGTGAGTCAAGATGGGTGAGTCCATGAATGTTAAGTGACAGTGTGACGTAGATCTGTAAGGTTTTTATAATCCTAGAGTTTCACCTTCTGTTTTCTGTCAGAAGCTAATGCAGGACATAGGTGTTGGAGACTATTTCATGTTCACCTTCTGTGAAAATCTCAGAGTGACTGAAGTAAGATTTTAAAAATTGTTTTTCAGTGTTCAACACCTTTCAAACATGACCTAGAGTTTAAAACCACATTTAACTTGTTATTGTTGAATTACGACAGCTTGGGCGTCTAATAGCATACCAAAAAGCCTGTGCCATCTCTGGCCTGCTTCCCCGAATAAATGGCTGTGGCGAAACGGCATATTTCAAGAAAAGCTAGTATAACACATAAGTTTAAGCCTGATTTAGACTTCTCCATCTGTATCGGTACAGAGACATGCAGCGCTGATGCATCAGTGCAAGAACTCTGCGGTAGGCCCACAGAGGTTGACAGAGACACGCCCACATTTTAACTGTCCGTCAAAAGTGATGGAGACTGCAAGCCTGGACTTGGTCATCGCCATTTCCCTGTCAAAAAATAAAACGAGTGCCGAAGATATCTAGTGGCAGACACAGAGGTGATGGAATAACATCATGGGGAAAATGTACGATGACGTGAATGTTTATACACCTGTTATTGAAGAAGAACAAAGATTTGCAGAAAACTTTTTGTGTTTTAGAAGGAAATAAAGGGAAAGAGGTGGAAGAGCATGAGTAAAAAGTCTTTGAAATACGTAAACACAAATACACTAAGTACATTATCATGGACCAGAGATGGGACTGCAATTTTGGCAGGATCCCCCAGTAAAGCCCTGTTGTCCTTGTAGGAAATTGCTTTGCAACTCTCCCCTGGTGATGGAGAAAGGAAAACATCTCCATCAATGCGTGTGGGTGCCTCTGCACCTGAGCTGACTGAGAAGTATAAATGAGACTTTAGAGACACACCACCTTACATTTGCATGTCCCAACCTATTTCAACGTCTGCAACATACAAACATTGGTTACGGTGATGCTAACCACAGAACAATGCTAGCTCGAGCTGATGCTACTGTCCTTGTTGGATGAGTGGAAAACAACAAAGAATGTTGGAGCACCACTCACATGCCAGGATGTACTTGGAGTTTCCAGGCTTTGAGTGAATGCCAGATAGATCCACGCCTTGTCTTCTTTTCACTCGTCCACAAACACCCGCTGCAGTCACTTTGCCAGAAACTCATTTCATTTCTCGTTCGGTGATTTTCCTGCACCCACCCAGGAACATCGTCTGACTTGACACTTCCTCCGTTCATCTACAACACCTCCACCCCCAGAAAAGTTTCATATGCTAAAGAAAGAAAGAACAGTTTATAAATTATTATTATTATTTTTTTTACTCTTTCTTGCCTAGGACATCTTTAAAATGTCTAATAGGCATTGTTACACAAATTGCCAGCTCTGTGGTTAAAGCCGTAGGAGAATTTGAACCAGAATCACACATTAGCAATGGTGTTTTTTTGCTGAGGAAATATGAATGATGGATTGTTTTCTTTTCAGTGTTTTGAGGAAAATCACCTTGTGTCTGTGGACCCCATCAAGCAGTTTGGAAACTGGTTTGATGATGCAACGAAGTGCTCTGAAATCGGAGAGGCTAACGCTATGTGCATAGCCACGGCAAACAAGTAAGCAGCACCACCACCTGGGGTAGAAATGACTCAAGATTTATAGTTCCACACAGTCTGATCTAATGTTTGCCTGTCCAGAGATGGACGTCCATCTGCTAGGATGGTTCTCCTGAAAGGTTACAGCAATGACGGTTTCACCTTCTACACAAACTACGAGAGCAGAAAGGGTGTTGAGCTGGTGAGGAACTCTTTCTGACCACGTTTTACCAACAATTCAATCAATTCAAGTCGTCTTCATACTAAATCAATCATACGCTTGTTTACTGTCATTTATTTAATTGTGTTTTAATTTCAGGTGAAGTAAAACTAAAATAACTAGAAATGTCTGATTTTATATTTGTATTGTGTTTGGAGTTATTGCTTGAAAATGGCACCAAACTACAGTCTTTGATTATTATTTGGACAACTATCAGATTAATAATGTCAGCCTAGTTGAATTATGAGTAAATACCCATGTGTAATAAACAGTTCTAATGCCTCAGATGAAATTAAACGTTTTCTTGATTGAATCAGGAAAAATATTTAATCAGGACAATGATTATCATCGGTTATTACAAATGTAGGTATTTCTTTTTTTATTTGTCTTCTGCTCTTTGGGTTGTTTATGATTTACTATAGAAACAATATGAAGTTGTTTTGAAGAGTTGATGAATAATCAATAATGAAATTGTGAATTAATTATGAAACCACCTTCATCCACCACACTTGGCATTGTTTTTGTGAGTTTTCTTTTCTGATCGGTTTCTTTTTTCTGCAGGAGAGTAATCCATATGCGTGTCTGGTTTTCTACTGGGAACCATTAAACAGACAGGTGGACCATCTTTACTGTGGATTTCTCTCGTCAATATTATCGCACCGTTTTGTTTCATTTTGTACGTCTGTTTGTTGTTTCATACTGATCTGAGTATTTGAAATGTGTAGATCCGTGTTGAAGGCTCAGTGGAGCGGATTCCTGCCCAGGCCTCCTGTGAATATTTTCACTCACGACCAAAAAGCAGCCAGATCGGAGCCGTCGTGAGTCGACAGAGTAGTCCAGTCCCTAACAGAGATGTAAGAGAAAAACGTGCACTTTTTAATCTGTGACACACTCAGGTTTGGTGCTTGGAGGATTAATTTGATTGTTTTAGTATCTAAGGCAAAAAAATGTCGAACTGCAGGAAAAGTACAAGGACACTGAAGTGCCGATGCCTGAGTATTGGTAAGTGTTGTTTTTTTTATTTTGTGTGAAAGGAAAAATTAAGTAAATAAAGAACAGTGATTATGAAATGTTGTAAACGTTCCATAATTCTCTAACCGTCTGGTGGTGATTTAGGGGCGGCTACATGGTCAGACCTTATTCGATAGAGTTCTGGCAGGGTCAGACCAACAGGCTTCACGACCGAATCGTTTTCTCCAAGCTGAAGGACGGAGAGACACTGGGAGAGTTCCAGCACGAGGCGGAGGGAGGCTGGGTGTACCAGAGACTTTCTCCATGAGAACGATTCATCTTGAACATCGTGTGACGTGCAAACATCTAAAGGTGGAAACCATCTGATATTTGTTTCACCTCTCTGTAACTGAAGCTGTATGTAACACAACCTGACTTTAACATGCATTATAAAACAGAATTGAGATGTTCACTGAGCCACTCAGGAGATGAAAGCTGCTCCTGTTTCAATAACCCGATTTAGCAGTTTTCATTTAGGACAAAATGTGGATTCATTCTAAAGAATTTTTTAAAAGCCTGTGGTTCAGTTATAGAAAAAAAAGGAAGAGACCTGCTTGAGTTTTGGTTGCTTGATTTAGATTTAATGATTTATTTTTATTTCTTTTAAAAAAAGTTGATTTCTTAGTAGTCTGTGTTCCTCCAGTCATCTAAAATGGTCTTCATCAGCTGGTCTTCAGACTTACTGTAAGCCCAGTCCTTCTGCTGGACCATAGCGTAGTGTTTAAAATATCCGAATCACGTTTATTGATGAGTGACAAACAAGTGATTTGCATTTGTGACTTGGTTTATACATCATAATAATAGACACACAAAAGAAAACGGGAACACGCAGTTGCCACTTACAAGAAAATACATGCAAATAAAGGATGTGCAGAACATGCTAAACAGAAGTTAGACTGACTACAAATCTGCATGTTGTAGAAGTCTGTTTTGCTGTTTGTTCTGGTGGTTCTGATGGACCGAGCCTGGCTTTAAGGGAAACCGTAATCTGAGGTTACTTACTTCTATGTAAACATCAAAAAGGAAGCAGAAAAGGAAAGACAATGGAAAATGTTTAAAGGGAGGAAAACATAGACCAAAATGGAAAATAGAAGAAGAAAAAAGAAAGGCAAAAGCACAGGAGCACTGACAGGAAGAAGAAAGCAGAGCAAATATTGAAGGCACTCAAAGGGAGAGAAAGACAGGAAAAAAGAGAAGGACTAATAAAAAGTGAAGATAACTCATGTCAGAAGAGGGTAGAGTTTTGCAAATCTGGTTAACGAGAAGATTGTCAAAAATTTTATGTAAGGGGGCCCCATGTCTGTGTTCGCCTTGGGCCCACAAATTGCTAAATCCGCCACTGATCACAAGCTAGTCGGGCTGTGATATTTGTTTCGATTTACCCTATTTTACTGTGTAGCACTTTGGACCTGTGCTGGGTGTTTGAAAGTGCTTTGTAAATAAAGTTGGACTGGATTTCAGATTAGAATGTATAATTTACACAAGGCAAATGCTAATTAATAAATGTTCTATTTTTGCCAAATAAGTTTTATGTCAGATGTGTTTTAATGTGTAGCTGATGTTAGTGATCTTGTGCTTCACTGTTGGACGAAAACATCAGTCAATACAACTACAAGCTCACATATAATTATGTTACTACTGACACCCCTCTAGCTGTTTAATCAGTGAAATATTGGATAAGTATGGCGGTAAGAATAAAGTTTTACTGATTATCTTCAATTTTTGTTTATTTTTTCTTAACCATTCAGCTTAGATGAACTGCAGGGTCATTTTTAGGATTGAGATAATTTTAAATGATTTTAGCTCATAAGTGTTGAGTGTGTATAATAAAGCATTTTGTTGTCTCCATTGTCTAAGAAGACAGAAACACTGATGTGCTTATGTGACAGCTGTTGTGTAAGAACAGAGATTGTGTTTGGTAAATGCTGGTTGGCCTGCATTTGTATAGCTCCTTTTAGGGTTCTACAACCCCCCATGGTGCTTCACAACTCGGTCAGACATTCACCCATTCACATGCTGGTGGGGATGAGCAACGATGTAGACACAGCTACACGGGGCACTGACAGAGGCAAGGCCTGCCAAACACAGGTGCCACTGGTCCCTCTGACCACCACCAGCAGACGAAGCGGGTTAAGTGTCTTGCTCAAGGACACAACAGCAGCGTTCTCTGGTAGGAGCCGGGATCAAACTTGCAACTTTCCGACTACTGGACAACACGCTCTACTTCCTGGGCTACTGCTGTTACTGTGCTACTGTGTTTAACCTTTGACCCGAAATATCAGAAATAAAGTTTTATTATTAACAAAAAGATGTGTGTGTACGTGTTTACCTTCTATTTAGGGCCTTTTCTAGCATATTCACTAACCTTCTGGAGACCAATGGGCCTTATGGGGACCAAAGGACGGTGGACCCCTTTTTAGGCTTGGGGGCTACGTTTAGAGGTAAGGTGTGTGACTAAAGGTTTTGTTACTGTTAGGTTTAGGAATACACTGGTGAGGGTTAGAGGAGAGGTTGGGCATGAATGCAGTTATATTAATGTCGATGGTCCTAATATGGGTAAAGAAATATGAAAATGCGTGTCTGTGTGTGTGTGTGTGCCCGCGCGTTTGGCCAGCAGGGTACAGCAAAACACAAATATGAACAAGACAGGAATCGACATCAGACACATTAAATGTTCCATATAAACATAAACAGCTGAAATGTGAGTTTTTTATATCTAATGTCAGTTTCAGATGCTTTTATTCATATTTGCTGCTTTCTGAAAAAAATTCACGAGTTTCAGATGTCGGTTTCTGTTTACGATCACCATGACCACGACGTCTGCCAACAGCCTTTCAGGTTAAACAGCAACTATAGAGACCAACCCAGTGCTCCTTTATATCTAAATATGCAAACAAGTCCTTCATTTTTCAGGATTTTCTGTTTGCTTAAACAAGAATTTCACAGAAAGGAATTTTAAACATTTGATTCATGAAAAAGACACTTCATCAGCATTTACACCTTTTATTCATTAAATATTTGATTTATTCATTTTCTACATACAAAAAACTTTTATTACAATGTTAAGCAAATGTTTTGACTAAAAAGAAAAATATCTTAAAAAGCATTGAAGCAACATTTAAGTGGCGACAAATACATTGAGTGGTTCATTTCATGTGCTAGAAACGTTACTTTTTCTTTTTTATTTCTAAGATGATAAAAATATGTATAATTTGTTTTTCTTTTATAAAAATGTAATTGTTTTTGACATGTAGAAACTATAGGGGTCAATGAATGTGTTTAACACAAAGCTTCAGGGCACCATTTTAAATGCTTTTATTTAGTTTGTTCATAAAATTTACTATTTTATTAAAACAAAAAGAACTTCATATTAAAGCAATAAAAACTTAAAAATGAAATTCACAGAAGTGTTAAATGAGGATGGATGGATTATTTCATTCTTGTAATCATTCAAGAGGAGCAGTTGGTAGAGGACATCCTTCAGAACTGATCATTGATTGGATTTGTTTTCTGATCCACTTCGTTGATTTGGTTTGAATCTATTGGGTTTTCTCAACCCTCCCCAGAGACGTTGACCGTGACTTATGACATGTTTATGATGATAAAGTTACATGTCAGTCTTATTTTTATGGTTCTCGTTGCTGAGGTGGTGCTCTGCGTATAGATTAGGGTTCTCGGCCAGGGTGGCTCGGACCTTCTTCTTCTCCTTGAAGCGACCGGAGTGGGAGACCTTGACGTGGCGACCCTTGGTGGCAGATTTATCTACTATCTTCTCCAGTCTGGCGTTAAACTGGCTGTCCATATTGTCTGCGGGGCTGTGCGGTTGCTCCTTGTTGCCATTGTTGGTGTGCTCCGCTGGGATCTCATACAGAACTTTGGGCTCAGATTTCTTCTTGCGTGAGAACGTCAGCTTCCACCAGCTTGAGTCAGCCATGGCACCAACAGATAACCTGAAACACACACAAGACCAACTGTTGAGAACAGCCAACACATGATATAAGTAGTGATCATTAAAATTTCATTAAACGCAGGCAGCAGGTTGAGGATCCTCCTCCTCAGCTTACTAATTAATTATTACAACACTGCAGCAGGCTCAGACACACACCACTCAGAGGATATGGTAAATGGCCTGTATGGGTATAACACATTCTACAACCCCCCAAGGCACTTCATAACACAATCAGTCATCCACCCATTCACACACACATTCACACGTTGGTGTCATGGTCTGTGTCTTCCCTTCTGTGTCTCATAGCGCCCGCATGTGTCTTTTGTCTGCGTCTCAGTTAAGTGTCTTATGTTTTGTTACCCTTTTTAATAATTTCTCCCAGGTCAGCTCCAGCTGCTTTGTCCCCAGCTCGGTGTGTGTGTGTGTGTGTGTGTGTGTGTGTGTGTGTGTGTGTGTGTGTGTGTGTGTGTGTGTGCTATGTCCTTCTCCAGCTAGTTTATGTGAGCCCTTCCCTCTGTCTTTAGATAAGTGTTGTTTAGTTTTGTGTTTAGGTATCTGCCCTTCTCGGTTTCTGCTTCCCCATTTAGAGAAATTGTTGTCACCTGTCTTCCCTCCAGCCCTCACTCCACACACCTGCTTCCTGTTTCCCTAATTGTTCCTCCCAGTTTATTTAAGCCCTGTCTTGTGTCGGTCCATTGTATGTGTATTCTGTCAGTGTTTGTTCGTGCTCTTGGTGAGCTTTGTTTCTCCAGCTTTGGAGTTTTGGACTTTAGGCTCGCTGCATGGATTTATTTCTGTTCCTCCTTCAATAATAAAGGATTTTACTTTTCATCATCTCCTGCCTCGTGTCATCCTGGGTAGCTGCATATTTGGGTCCTAACATCCTCAAAACGTGACAGTTGGTGATGATGAGCTACAATGTAGCCACAGCTGCAGTGGGATGCACTGACAGAAGCGAGGCTGCCGAACGCTGATGCCACCGGTCCCTCCGACCACCACCAGCAAGCACCAGCAAGGTACAGTGTCTTGCTCAAGGACACAGCAGCAGCATTCTCTGGTGGGAGCCAGGATTGAACCTACAACCTTTCATTTACTAGACAACCCACTCTACCTCCTGAGCTACTGCTGCCCGTCATGTTCTCTTTCTTGAACAAAGGTTTGGGGTGTTTTTGTACCTGATGTGTTATCGTAACTTTTTTTTTGTTTCATACAAACTATGACTAAGTATTTACTACTAGGGAACATGTACAACAAGCAGAACCATCAATAAATATATATTAACAGATTTGTTCTACTAAAAAGCTAAAAGAGCATCCTATAAAACTTGTCGTAGCTTCACTGTCCTCTAAAGTCACTCATAACTAAAGAACAGAAAGTGCTTTACATGAACTTACAAGATCTATAAAATCACTCGAATCAAATTCAGCAACAGCAGCTGAATGAGAAGATCCTGTGTAAACAATAACCTGGGAAGTATTTAAAATAAGAACTTAAACATCACCTTCAAAACCACTCAGTAACAAAGTAACAAGCAGTGGACCAAATATTAATCCTTGAGGGAAACCACAATTATAAACTGGATAAATCTGAGGTTATGTGATAACTTACCATGACAATGGAACCCATTCAGTTTGTTTTTTACTCTAATTTTCAGTGTTAATCCTGAACCTGTCACACCCTGTCCTGTCTCCCCATTTGGTTCAGCCTGCGTCCCTGTTAATTGCTCCCACCTGCCTCTCATTTTCCAATCACCCAAGCTCCCAGCCCTCTTGTATTTAAACCCCTCCAGTTCTGTGTCTCTTGTTGGCTCAGTGTTCCCATGTCCTGCGCGTGTTTATTATTAAAAGACTTTACCTGTCCCAGGTTGTCTGCCTGCCTGATTCCTCCCTAGCGTTTGGAACCTTACCTCCGCTCCACTCACCAGCGCGTCGTGACAGAATGAGCCAACCCCATAGAGGATCCAGCGGGGAGATTCTCCCCTGGGAGTGCCTGCTCTGTTTCCTCTCCTCGGACCACCGGCCGGCTTCTCCTCCTCTGGCGTCGCCTCGCCGCAGCCGCCGTCACCATCACCAAACTTCAGCCTCGGCGATCCTCTCCACCCTCCCGGAGCCAGATGAGAGGTTGAACCGGGAGATGCTGCCAGACCGCTCCTGCTACATGGGCATCAGACTGGCTGTGTGTTCCCCCGGAGTTGGCCCACAGCGTGGGGAAGGATGCCGGGTTCCACCGCAACCCTGTGTCCCAGGACGGAGCCGCGAGCTCGCCGCTGCCCCGGCGCACCAGCTTGGACCCGCCCCCTGTCCAATCAGCGCCTCCGTCATCTGCAGGCTAGGGATGCACCGATGGATCGGCATTTGATCGTAATCGGCCGATAGCGCCCCTATCGGTTTTGATCGGAATTTTCAAAATAGATCAAAGCAAACCGATCAGGTAGGGTTGTCACGGTAACCAGTTTAGCGCTAAACCCCGGTAAAAAAAAAAAGTTGACAATAATAACCGTCTTGTTTTTAAAAAACTATATTATCTCGGTGGATTACCGTGGCTGCGGTGTAGGCGCGGTGACCCTTACCAGCCACCGTATCATCTGCTGAAATTGCCGGCAGCACATACACGCTTTGTTTACAACAAAACTTTCTTGAAGCTAAAGCTGAAATAATGGTCAAAGGAGAAGACGGCAGCACTCAGGACATTTATTATCCCTCAAAGAAGACAAAGTGGGAAGTACGGGCATCTTTTGGATATTTGAAGAATGCCGAGGGACAGCTGATAGAAAACGGCTATCCTGTTTGCAGCACGTGCAGAAAAAGTGTCTGTGAAAGGCAGCAACGCTTCTTATCTCATGACACATCTACGTGACCATCACCCACAACTCTACAGTCAACACAAGGCAAGTTAACGTTAGCGTTTTAGCTAAAATGCGTGATCCGAGGATTTGGGTTGAGGGAGAATGCAACGAGTCGCTATATAAAGCAGCCGCAGCGCCGCTACCTGCATATAAACAGTGTCGCGGACACCGCCACGTTGAAATGACGCTATGCATTACGGGTCTCCCAGGGGCAGATAAGAGTTGGTCTCTCTCCGAGAATAATTATGAATTTAACAATGATTACTGCCTGATGACATTTTCCCACATCTGCAAAGCTCACTGGAAGGACACAAACCGAGGACAATATTTTCCTGATATAGGGTTTATTACTCAAGTAAGGGTAAAAAAAAGTATCTGATTAGAAGGCTACTTGAGTACTGAGTATCATCTGATCTAATATTTTTAAATGATGACATCAAACAGACATAAAATACGAAGTTATGGGCAAATATTGGTATTTTAAAGACTAAAGGGGAAAAATGTAAACAAATAAACAACATAATTACAAAATAACACATTTGAGGCAACATTTAGACACAAACTGAGGACAATATTTCCTGACATACAGGGTTTATTTAATTGTGTGAAAATGTAGCACGTTTAAAAAAATACCGCGATAACACCGAAAACCGTGGTAATTTTGGTCACAATAACCGTGAGGTTAAATTTTCACACCGTGACAACCCTAAACAGACCATTTTAGATTAGGTTACATTTCCTTTATTCCCAGATTATGTAGTTTGTAGCACTCATTATAATGTTGTAGAAAATTTCTGGCCAATCCACGTGATCGGTATCGGTGATCGGTATCGGTGATCAGCATTCTTTGATATCGGTATCAGTGATCGGCAGCAAAAAACCTGATCGGTGCATCCCTACTGCAGGCAGAGGAACCACGCCTACAGCCCAGCTGACAGAGCTAGCCGGTCTCCAGGCGGAGCTTGGCCAGATCCGTCAGCTCGTCAGCCTCCGGGAGTTCCAGCTGGACACCCTATCCTCCCCGTATCTCCAGGAGAGGATTTCTGTCCAGCCAGTGGCCCCACCTCCGGTCCAGTCAGCAGCTCTCTCGTCTCCAGGCCAACGGACCGAGCTCGCAGCCCATCCAACAGAGCTCGCCGGTCTCCGAGCTGAGCTGGTCCGACTCCATCAGATCCTCAGTCTCCAGGAGTTCCAGCTGGACAATCTATCCTCCCTGCTTTTCCAGTTACCGGCTCCACCAGGTCCCGCGCCACCACTCCAGCCAGCGCCAGTTCCAGCGGTGGTCCCAGAGGTCGCACCGCATCCTGTTCCAGTGCTGGTCCCAGAGGTCGCACCGCATCTGGTCAAGCCTGTCCAAGCGGTCCCATCTGCAGCAACTCCTCCTCCACTCCAGAAGCCGGCAGTCCAGAAGCCGGCGGTCCAGAAGCCGGCGGTCCAGAGACCAGCGGTCCAGAAGTCGACGCCCCCGAATCAGAAGTCGACACCCGCAGATCAGAAGTCGAGGCCCCAGGACCAGAAGTCGACAGTCCAGAAGTCGACAGTCCAGAAGTTGACAGACCAGAAGTTGACACCCCCGGACCAGAAATCAACGGTCCAGAAGCCGACGGTCCAGAAGCCGACGGTCCAGAAGCCGACGGTCCAGAAGTTGACACCCCCGGACCAGAAATCAACGGTCCAGAAGTCGACGGTCCAGAAGCCGACGCCTCCAGACCAGGAATCGACGCCCCGGACCAGAAGTCGATGGAGGACGATGCCCCCAGTCCTGTGGTCGACACCCCTTCCAATCCTGTGGTCGACCCCCTTCCAGTCCTGTGGTCGATGCCCCTTCCAGTCCGGAGGTCGATGCCCCTTCCAGTCCGGAGGTCGACGCTCTCTCCAGTCCGGAGGTCGACGCTCTCTCCAGTCCGGAGGTCGACGCTCTCTCCAGTCCGGAGGTCGACGCTCTCTCCAGTCCGGAGGTCGACGCACCCTCGTGTCCGGAGGTTGACGCTCCCTCGTGTCCGGAGGTCGACGCTCCCTCGTGTCCGGAGGTCGACGCTCCCTCGTGTCCGGAGGTCGACGCTCCCTCGTGTCCGAAGGTCGACGCTCCCTCGTGTCCGAAGGTCGATGCTCTTTCCAGTCCAGAGGCCGGCGCTCTTTCCAGTCCAGGGGCCGGC